GAAAAACAATTTAATGTTGAAAGAAAAAATACAACATTGAAAGAAAAAATGTGTTTTTATTTAATTTGCATTTATTCTATGCAGTATAAAAATGACAGTTCCTTGTTTGCTAAGACATTCCACCCCAGAGAAACACGGTTTAATTATAGGGTTTTTTTCAGATTTTTTTCACTGTAACATTTGAATTGTATGTTTTGTCCATTTTGTCATTTTTGTCCTTTTGTTTTTTAGCTTTTATTTTTTGCACTCACAATTTTCCCCCCATCTATCCACAGTTTTCCTCATAGCATATATGCTCATATCCCAATGCTCTTTCTTTTACATCTTTGCCAATAGTCTCTGTGCTAAAATCCTTTCATTACTGCAAGATTCCTGCTCAGGAATCCTAGGTTTTTCTTCCTTATATTCAGCCTCTGATGCTTTTGTTGTCAGCCAGCACTTTCATCGCTGTCTCTGTAGCTATATTGTGATCATCTTTCAGTCTTTTTTTTTTTATTTATGTCAGAGGATAGAAGGAAGGGGCTATCCTTTCCTGCACAGATATGAGTACTGGGCCTTTTTTGGATATTGGCCCAGGAGCATTCACTGGGACATAATTTTTTAGGATTTTCTTCTTATATGGACAAAGTAGCTGAACTGAAGTGTCTGGGACCTGTAGGCACCATAACAGAAATAGAGCCTTAAGCAGAAATGAATAGGTGTTCTTACTATGGGTTATAACACTTTCTGTCACCTTTTGGAAATCCAGTATAAGATCTAAGAACCTCTTCTTTTGTGGTGAGAGACATGACACTTGTTAATATTAATGCTTAACTTGTGGATATAGTGTCACTTACTACCAATAGAGAATTACATTTCAAGCTGAGTCCTTGAACATATCCCTAGGTCTTTAAGGTATTTCCAGGTAACTTTGTTGTGTGATTGTCATCTTCTCTTCTGTTGCAACTTGAAATATGATTCTCCTTAGAACTGTCACTTCTTTGAAATTGCTTTCTTTTTCTGTTGATAAGTACATGTGCTAAAAACTGCATATAAGGATGTTGTACTTCTCTAATGTTGATCAACATAACTGGTCTACTCTGGCCTCAAATCGGGAGACCTGGAGACACACCATCTATAACGCTGCTGTTTTCTTTGAGAACGCCCACAGGATCACTCTTGAGGAGAAAAGACAACGCAGAAAGAACCATATCTTGCAGAATATACCACCTAAGGAGTCTTTCTGCTGTGCCTTTTGCAACCGGACATGTCTGTCTCGTATTGGCCTTATTAGCCACCAGCGTGCTTGTAACAAATGTGGATAGAGCCTTTCCCAAATCTTCATTCGCGAAGCCCAGTCATGACTTCTCTAATGACTTCAGTGGGATTTCTACGTGTCCAAGCAGACTAGTTTAAAGTGATAGTACTGGTGCTCAGGAAAAAAAGAAAGAACAGCCCACAATGTTAAACAGGACTGTGGCTGTTGTCTTGCAAAGAAGCTTAGTAAAACAGGCAACATACAAAGCACTTGACCTTGTATCTCCTCTGGACCCTGTGTAGAATCTAATAGAGCCCAGGTTTCATTATCATGGGTTTTTTTCTCTTTTTACTTTATGAAATAATGTGAAAGCTGTATTGCAGCCTAACAGCATAGTGTTATCATGTCACAAAAGAAATGTACACGCCACAGTGTGTTGTGATGTGTGTAGCATGAGGCTATTTGGGGTTGCTTAAGAATCCACAGGCTGTTGGAATAATGTTGAGGCACAGTGAAAAGTGGGAGGAAACAAACCTGGAGCACTCTTGCCCATACTGCCTGCTGAGAAGGGTCCCTGGTGTATGATAATAACACTGACTGTGTTTGGGTGTCCTGGTTGGCCCAGATCAACAAAATACCAGGGAGAGTGCTAAATTCATCAGTGTGAGCAATCGGTGTTCCAGGGATCATAAGCACTCCCCAGTCTTGATTGGTTTAACAACCAGCAACTGCAGGAGATAAAAAGGGAAATTGCTAGAGAAGAGCTCTGCTAATAATCTGTAGTAAGTTTCATTTTAAGGAAAGGAAGAATTTATAAATTGCATTCTGAAAAACTAGAAAGTCAGTGAATTTTTTCCTGCACGTGGAGGATATGATGATATGAGTCTTTTTTTCTGATGTAGAAAGGCAGAAGCAGCAGTCATCACCTTATATATACTGCAAACATTGACTTTTTTTTTGCAAAATATGCATTCATTTGAAATTCCCTACTGATCACAGATTTGTGAGTTTATTTCTGCTCTTGGGCTGTATCTAGAGCTCAATCTACCACTGCTTGGACAGCTGACAGGGTGAAGGTCGTTTTATCGTCTGTGGTGATTTCCCTCTTTGAAACCCTGAAGTTTTTATCTGTGTCCTCCAGCAGTATTAGGGAAGTTGGGGCTTACAATCCAGGTAGCATAAAAAAAGTGGAGTGGAGTGAATAGACAAGATATTATAAAAGAAAAAAAAAACAAGTAAAAGGGTTTTTTATGCAACATTGTGTAGGAGAAAGATAAAATAACTGCTTACTTTACCTCCTGATTATATCCATATGTGTGTTGAAAAATTAAAAGACATGCAGGCAACCTACCTCTTTATAATCTGTGTTCCATAAGATTATTTGCTTGTTCTAGAAGTATTTTAAAATAAATCCCTGAGGTTGCTCATGTACAGTATTTAATTAAATGTAGAAGACCATACATGTATTAAAAAGTGAGCTGGTCAAAATTTGAGAAATAGGACTTGGTACTTTTCATATATCTTAGCATTAGTCTGGCAGAGTCTAGCAAGACCTCCGTGAGTGAAGATGGTCTATAATTATGGTCTTAAGGCCCCTGCTCATTCTATTATAGGAATAAGAATTTTCTTTATACAATAAATGCATTTTGAATTTCAGCGATACCAGACTTGATTTCTTCAATCGACTCAGTTATAACACAAAACAGTTTGCTCCCTAGTCTAATTGCAGAATAATGTGGAAATAATTTATTTCTTAACTGTAATATAATGAAAAAATCAGCATTAATGAGAATACCACAGTATACTTTTATAAGATTTCACAAGACCAGATTAAGCAATATGGAGAAAAGCCAAAGTTTAACACAGTTTTCATAAAAATGAAATAATAATTCTGCATGTCATATGCTATATGTATATAGGAATCATTTCTACAACCCCATACTAAAAAAAAACAAACGGCCAATTTACTGTCCGTAGACAAGTAGAATAGGGCTTCAGGGTCTACAGCAAATAAATAAATAAATAAATAAATAAATAAATAAATAAATAAATAAATCAATCAATCAATCTTATTTTGTGCCCACTTCAAGTGAAAAGATCAACACTTAATGAGTTTATAACAAACTCTCCGTGCTGGATATTTTCAGGAAGATGAGGGTGTATGGGTGGTGTTCTTGTGGAGAAGTAAAGGACTTTAGTGCTCAGTTCTTGGCCTACCAGTAAGGGTATCACTTCCCAGCTCATAAATATATTTCTTGTGTGAAACCTGTTAACATATATATTAGTATTATGTGGGGCTATACTATCAGTTTTTCTCAGTACCACTGACAGATGATATGCAAAACAAAATGTTGGCAGAAGTGGGTTAAACTGAGTGCTTTAAAATTTTGCACAGAGCTTGATAGAAGGTGTGGCATGAAGAATAGTCACCTGAAAAAGAGCATTTATCCAGTTTAAACAAAAATGTTTAACTCCTCCATTCAAATATGCATGCATCTGTCAGATGGGCTAAAATATGCCTCACTAGTTGTATTGCTGTGCTAAATTTTCATGAATCAACACAGATTTCATTTTTCCATTGATTATATAAAGGCATTCAATGCTGTAGCTACAGTGGTAGGGGAAAAGAAGAAAATGCCTTGTTTGTTTGCAATAGGAAGAGAAACCTGGCAGATGTTTCTTTGTACTCATCATCCCTTTGTTTGCTAAAAAATTTCAAACTCACAATCCCACAATTTGGAAATCATGGACAACTAGTATGAGAGGAAAGCTCTTTTATTCTAATCTCTCTTTCCATTTATCAGCCCTTATCTCTCTTTCTTTCCGTAACGGCTCATGTCTCTGGTCCTCACTGTCTCCAGTTTTGCTTGATTTATCTTTATTCAGGGGCTAGTACTTTTAAAGTGGTGGCAACAAATTGAAAATAAATTTTACACACATTGTATATAATGTAAATAAATAAGATATTATTGTAGCATTTCTTTTCCCACATTTTCTTTATGCCCCTTAATTTCTTGGACTTAAAGAGATATGTGCTCTTGCAACGTGTGCATAATGAATGTTATGTTCTCCTCGAGTAATATGTGCCAGATGGACCTATAGGTAACAACGGTGACAAAATCTTATGTCACTATCTCCCTTTTGCTTACATACCTTTAACCTCCATTAGTTTAGAACATGTCATATCTGCTCTTTTTCCCTTCCTTTGCCTTCCTTTCCCTTCCTTTCCTCCATCCCTCTCCCCTTCCCTCTTCCTGTTGACCTCTCTATAGTATGAGTCTTTGGCCACTATCTTTCTGATGTTTTCTGAAAGCTCATTTGAACTTTAAAACCTGTCGCAAACAGTAAAATATGAAAGTCTCATTTTAGCTTTTACTAAAGACCTTTTAACATTCTTCTGAGAATCAAGACAATTTTGTGTTGTGGAAAAATTCCATAACAAATATCCTCAGAATTCCAGATATTCAAATTGATGACTGTCCATATACTACCAACAGCATAACATGGTATTAAAACACTTGCAAACAGGACCTCAAATGTTTGTCAAAGTTCCTTTACATTCTAATAAAAGTACAAGAGTTTTAAATAATTTTATTTATATCATGCTAATTACTTTCCACTGCCTCCTCTTTTTCCTCTGTTGGCCACAGATGCTTCCTGACAAATTTTAATTCCTGCTTTCACTTGATGGGAAACAAATAGTCAATAACTTTTTTTCACTTTTTTACTTCACTGAAATGTTATTCTGATTATAATATTGTAGATAATACGGCCAGTATCCTGACAAGACGAAGGAGATACAGTCGAACCACTCAAGACACCTATTACCTCCCAGTTTTGATTTCCGATGGTGGAGTGCCCCCTCTCAGCAGCAGTAGTACCCTCACCATTCGGGTTTGTGCATGTGAGAGAGATGGACGAGTGAGAACTTGCCATGCTGAAGCTTTCCTCTCCTCGGCTGGCTTGAGCACAGGAGCTTTAATCGCAATCCTGCTCTGTATTGTAATTCTTCTTGGTAAGCCATTTTCAGTATTAAGTAATGCTCTCCCTCCACTGGCTCTCTGAATGTGACAGAGCAGAAATTTTTAATATGGTATCCTTTTGAACCAGTGGCTGCCTGGTAGTAGGAGACAATTAGAAACACATAGCTGTGATTGGGGGGGAAAAGTTTAGCTAAAATTAATAGGGGAAAATGCCTTTAAAGTACATTCAGGAAAATATGGAATCCACTAGAAATTATTTTTCAGAGGTTATCAAGTAATCAGCACCGCAGATCTTTTTTCTGTAATTTGGAAATATTTCAAAAAAGCAACTGACTCTAATTCCATGTCTAGAACAGTGTGAAAAAATGATAGAAAAGAGATGAGGAAAGCTTTTTGAAATGCATTACGCAGCAAGAAGCACCATTAGCTCTTGTACAAAAGCCATATCTTAATTACTTTTGTGGGATAAACTGATAGCAATGCACAGCATAATCCACAGGGGTGAGGGACATGTGAGACTATAAACTGACCCATAAGATAAATGCCATCACAAGTGCATTTTTTCCCCAGGCCAGTTTTAATTTTACCCACTAGTTAATATTGGGGAGGGCGCGTGTGTGGGGTTGATTTGTTTTGTTGAGTTTTTTTTCTGTCATAGACAAAACTTGCTGCACACATATCTCTGTGCTACTCATGTGCCTTTCTGCATTCTTATAGACGTGGCAAGAAATAATGGTAATTACAGTATGACCCACATAGGAGATTCAGAGGATTTTTTTTCCAAAGACTCTTTTCAAAATGTTCTCTCAGAGATTTTCTAGACTACTTTCCTTGCACCTTACTTCAGAATTTCCTTGCCAGAAGGCTGTTTTAAAAATATATAATAATATATTTAGCTTATAATTTTGCCTTTTATTATACAAAATCAAATATTCATAAGAGAAAAATAAATCTTTTACATATTAATTCAATTGATATGTTAAATATTTGCTTTAGAGAAGCACTGAAAGCCCTGGACTATGCTTCTGAAAAATGTCAGCTCTAGTAACTCATTTTTCATTTACCTGAAAGAATGTTATCTCCGTTTATGTCCTTTATGAGATCCCTGATAATCTAAGTAGCAGATGATCCCAAATACCAATATTAGCCTGAAAATAAAACGTCTGTATTTTTGACTCAGTGTCTGCTATTTCTGTAACATATTCAGAGGTAAACTTTAAACCTACTCTAATATCTGCAGTTTTCTCTTTAGCAATTGTGGTCCTTTTCATCACCTTAAGACGTAGCAAGAAGGAGCCCTTGATCATCTCAGAAGAAGACGTCCGGGAAAATGTTGTGACATATGATGATGAGGGTGGTGGAGAGGAAGACACAGAAGCATTTGACATCACTGCACTGCGGAATCCATCTGCTGCTGAAGAGCTAAAATACCGGAGGGATGTTCGTCCTGAAGCGAAGCCTGTGTCCAGACATCATCTCTCCTCAAGCCTTGACAGTATAGATGTTCAGGAGTTCATTAAACAAAGACTGGCAGAGGCTGATCTGGACCCCAGTGTGCCACCATATGACTCCCTGCAGACATATGCCTATGAGGGTCATAGATCAGAAGCTGGATCTATCAGCTCTCTGGATTCAGCCACAACACACTCTGACCAGGATTATAATTACCTTGGAGACTGGGGACCTGAGTTCAAGAAGCTAGCTGAACTCTATGGGGAAATAGAATCAGAAAGAACAACTTAGTTGTAATTCCCAAAACAGAGAAGTTCCTGAACAACTGGACATATAATGACAGCAACGGTAACAAAAAAAAAGTGAACACAGTACTTGGAACTAAGTTATGTGCAGTTACTGTAGAACAAGTGCCCTTTTCATATTTGAAACTGGGTTCTCCAATTGGAAGAAAATCAAATTTTGAAAAATACAGAAAAAAGAATATATTGTCCCTTGTGTCTTTTTTTTAATTGCTCAATAAAGTCTGTGGTACCGTATCTGCAACAATACCTACAGTAAAGACAAGCAATGACATTTTTATTTCAATATGCGTAACATCTCCAAGCTACAGTAAGTTTATGGTCATGTCTGTTTAAGAAGATAGGTAATGGAGGAGCTAATCTCTTGCAGGTGGTTATAATGTTGCTTTTCTAGCTGTGCTCTAGGCCTTGTGATCTCAATGTGAGGTAGCCATGGGGGCTTACTATCAGTGTGAGAAGTGCTACCAGTCTGTTTCCTTTACAGAGGTGATACGCTACACCTGTCCTCTTAAATAAATGGTCCTTTGATGATTTAATCTTATTGAATTAGCAGGTTGCATTGAGAAGCTGCCATTTCATAATGTCCTTCATAATCTTGTCATCCATAACCAGCTAACAGATGGAGGGCATCCTTAGCTGTTGCTCAAACACGGCTGTAAACCCAGACCTGCTCTGTTGCTACTGCGTGCTGAAGGAACTGTTATTTACAGTGTTGTGCTTTTTCTTTTCATCTTTTCATGGAAACATCATTCATTTAAATAGAATGAGCCCAAAGTAGTCTTTATGCAGCGAAGCAGATGAAGTGTAGGCTCTTTCAATAAAAACAATGGCAGCACCATTAAACTATGCAGTTGTTTGGTTCACTGTGCTTCACTTAAGAGCTGAAGCTTTTTAAGTCTTTTGCTGGTCTGAGTCCAGGAGCTACAGCACTCAGTTTAAAACAGAGAGTTCTTAATCATAATGTCTTTCTATTTCTGTGTCTGACTAAAAGCAAAATCGAGCTGCTGTTAGGTCACTGGGATAGTGAAAATTGAAACAAAGAGAATAAGATGATGCTGTTCTTTTTCTTTTTAGTTCAATCTACTAATATTTCTTACGCTTAATTTCCACCTAAGCAGAACAAGCGTTTTTCCCCCTATTTCAAGCATCATGGGAGCAGGTACATTTTAAGTCAGTGGAAGAAATGTATCATTATTGTGGTTTATATGGCTTAAATAAGTTGATTTCTTATGTTTGTAACTGTATTACATTGCAGATCTGCTAAACAGTTCTGCTTAACACTGTGGGCTGCTTAACAACTCATCCAGCAGATTCTGATTTTTCCTTTGTTTTATTTGAAACTTTAACCTTTTTGTTTGTCTTTCTTGTGATAATACTGTGAGAGTACCAGGTACTCAAAATATTGCGTGAAAGATTATGGCCTATAAGGCTCACAGTCTATTACAGTCCTTTGCTTTTAAGAAAATTGTAGTTCCACTTAGGGAAGTGGACTTCTTCCAGTACGCATTTGATAAGAAAGCTGTCCAGAGCAGAAGCTGTGTACTGTTTTTTTTACTCTGTGGTCTGGTGTGCAGAGTGATACAGACTTGTATGCTCCAGTAGATTCCTTCCTCTGCATTTTAGGTGCCACTTACATTCAGCTTAGTAAAGCAAGGTCTACATTTTTTGATGACCTTCTGTGGGCCACACAAGTGAACAAGATTATTAAGCCTTCCCTTCTTTGCTCCAGGGTTGTGTAGGTCCTGGACGTGACTGAAACTTCTGATCAGTTCTACTTTGAAGGGATTTTTTTTTTTTTTGAGTGAACTTCTTCCTGAGATGTAGTTGACTGCTTTTGGCTTAGACAGCCTTCTGGAAAAATTAGCCAGTACCTTTGCAAGAAATTTTCCATACTCTAAAAAGTATTAGTTGTACTGTAGTTCTAGAACTGGCTTTTACTACACTGTTCTGTTTGAAAATTATTTTCCTTTCTTTCAGCATTTTAACCCATGAGAAAATTTAGGAGGGAAAAACCCCTGAACCATAAATGTTCTGCTGATGATTTGAAAGTAGTCTAATAATTTGTGTTCGGATTTTTTTTTACTTTTTACTAAATACAGAATCTTCTAGAAATGCATTTAAAAAGACATTATTGCTGTAGAGTGAGGTTAAACAGATGTTTTAATGCAATAAGCGTTGCACAGAAGCTGAGAATGGCCTATATATTATCTTTTTTGGGGGTAGAGTTAGGATATGTTTCAGTTTTGTCCCAAATGAAGAAACTAATAGTGTTCGATTTTATTAGGAGGTTTTCTTTTGATTTAGGTCACACTTGCATTATGCTAACATCTAAATTTTTATATTGTATGAGTAGAGTGTTAAAAAGAAAATCTTTTAGCATTACTACTACCATGGACTATAATACTTTGTACCACATCTGCATGAAAATTGCATTAATTGTTGTATTATTGTTTTGAGAACCAGGTATTAGTTATCTTTATGTCTGCTCCATCTGGCCCTACACCAAAGCAGGGAAAATCACTTGTATTTTGTGTTTTAAACAGTGCTCCCACCATTGTTTTCTTTTATTTGCATCATAGAACATTCAGGCTTAAAGGCAACAGAAGTGCAGTGACTTAAGCAAATATTCCCTCTTTGCACTAATGTTCTGTTTAAGTTTATAATATCTAAGAGAAATAAGAATCCCCTTTTCATCATTCCTGGTGCTCTCTTTGCTGCTATACAGCATGTGCATCATACCCCCAGACCCAGAAATTCTGAGTCCTTTAAATCTCTGCAGGGTTATTGAGACGCTGCTTCTGTGATGCTGCAGTGTGTTCTGTTTTATGTCCTATTCACAGTGATCTCCAAATGTGCTTTTCTATCATGATATGTCTGCATGCTTGCTATGCTTACTGTTTTTTACTCAAATACACATCACAGTGTCGTGTTGTTTGCATGACAAATAGCAGATTATTAAATCTTCAGGGCCACAGAAAAAGGCCTCACAGTGCAGAAAGAACAGGTTTACAGATTTTTTTATCCCTATCCTACAATATTTTCCTTTGGTCCTTTTTGTCCTAGAAAAAAATTTAAACTATATTTGAGAATATGTTAACCTAGATTGAAGTAGAAGAAGGTTATACTGTTTACCATGGACATCACAATCATTTTGTAGCATTGCTAATTTGAAAAAAGTATGCATTCAGTTGAAGTATTGTGGGAAACTCTTTCCTGGCTTATGGATGAGTTTGATTATATAGACTTTGCCTAAAGCTTTCATGGTTCTTTTGTGTACTCATATTCTCAAATATTTTCCTATTTGCCTAAATAGTAATTCTGCTGCTGCATAACAACTAAATGATGAAAACTGCCAGTTTTACTTAAAGTGGAAGATACTGAGTGAAGTTAAATGGCAAATGCAAAGTGTTACTTAAGGGCTTTCCCATTTACAATTTGATTTCTGCAACAGCTATTCAACTACTATTACATTTGCACCAAAATAAGTAATCGTATTCCTCCAAACAAACCCTCTTACTTGTATGCTGAGGGCACTCTATGCTGTAATCTTGACAAGTCATCTGAGAAAATGGTCAATATAAGAATTTTAAAATGTGTAACTATATTGTCAAACTAAAATCTGTCAAAAATGTAGTTTAATGCACTTTAAATGCAAGGAAGATCTTGGATTCAACTGGCATTAGATTAAGATTCATATATTGAAAACAAATTAACTTGTTTATCAGTGTTACCTTTTATTACATATACATAGAACACTGTAAAAGTTGAAAGTAATTTCACTATGTTATGCACTTTATTTTTTTGCATTCCTCTTAGAAAACCAAAATAATTGCAAACATTTTTTGGGTTGAATTCCAATTGATGCAGTTGTTTAAATTGTGAATACTGAAAGAAAATATCTATATGAAAGTATTCTCATTGGTATTTAAAAGGAATTAAATAACTTCTGTCGTCTCAGGCTTTTTAAAATCAACTTTTAGAAATTCTAAGTATTCCACCAGTCTGGAATTAACCAAACTCATAAACTCACACAAGGATAACAAAGGGAATATTCTAAATGCAAAGAAGAATATAAAATTATGCTGCCTAGGGTTATTTTGTGTATTATAAACTGCTAAGACCTTGTACTTGCAGTACATATAAATGGCAGAGTGCATTCTAAGGAAAACTAGAAGTGTGTTGCAAGTTTTGGGCCATCCTTATTTTTCCAAAGTCTCCAAAAATATATATATTTTTTTTAACAAAAGAGTTATGTAAAGTATACCTCCTTATGCAAGTGTTACTGATAGAAATTGTTACATTTTCTTTTAATAAACAAAAGGGACAAAATCTTTTATTCGTATTTTTCAAATAAAATGTGCTCTTTGCTATGGTGATGGGTTATTGTATTCCTCATCACAACTAGAACATGTTTTTTTCTCTTCACTGCTGTATTCTATACGCACCAAAGAACTATAACATCTAAAGACACTCTGTCTTTAAAAATCAGATGTAATACAGTTGTATTAATGAGGTGAATGTCAGAAATGGTATGATAAGTTTAACTAGATTTTTAATGTCTGGTATAGTCACTTCATTGTGCCACTATTTCAAAGACTGTCTTACATGATTATTGCTACAGATGGATAGTGATAGTGAAAGACACATCAGATAGTTTACAACAGACTGCAGTATAACTGCTAAATGGTTCATTACTTTTACTTGTGGTAACTATTCCGCTCCGACCATCACTGTCCTGAAACTGAAACACAGTAATGAATACATTATCCACATGAGTGAGTTGGGGAATTGTGCATCTATGAATCCAGATTGTTGGTAACAGCCAGGGTTATTATCCTAAGCTGACACAGAAGACAGAAGCAGACAAGGACATTTACAATGATCAAGCTCAGGCACATGCAATTCAAGTGCACAGGAGTCACTAATTCTTTCTCAGGAACTTAAAAGGAATTAACAGACTTTACCAACAAATTACATCTTAGAAAATAAAGGTACCACAGTTCACAAAAAATTTGTTGCATGCAAATTTTACCATACTGACATGAGTTTTAAAAATAAAGCTGGGGTTGACAGGAAATGAAAGTAGAATTTTGCTGTTGTACCCTACTTCCTCTACTTTATTGCCCACAGGCCAATTTAGATTGTGTACCACAAAGCTATGCAATTCTCACATGTGCCTTGCCACAGACCCAGAAAAGAAATTATTGTAAGATAATATTTGCAAGATAAATATTGTCCGCCTGAATCTGAATGCAAGTTCAGGGAGGTTTTGTGGTTTTTGTTTTAATTCTCATTTGAGGTGTTTAAACTTTCAAAAGAATTTTTAGAAATATTTTAGATAATCTTTCATATCTAAGATTGATTAAGCTTTTAATTTTTTTGTCTTAGCAAAGCTTGCTATCAACTTATTGTGAAATTGATTTTTGGGTTGCTTGGAGTCCATACTACTTCCATATGTGGCAAAAGTATTGTTTTTATTTAGGTGCAGAGAGTCTTCAAAATCTAGAAAGCTTTACTTGTGAGTTTAGTAGACTTTTTCTGGAGCATTTTTGTGTTCTTGGTACTCCTCACAAGTCCATCAACACACCTGAACCTTTAATTAATCAAGGATGTCCCAAAGATCCAACAAACTTTCCACACTTACTGTCTCTAGATTTGTTTTTTTCTGAAGTACATGCAACAGAGCATATTATAGCTGATATGCAGTCAATGCCTGCAAAAGCGTGCTCATCCAGTAAAACTACCTTCAAAGAAAAAATAGGCACTGGGATTAGGACTCAGAGGATCATGAGGCACACAGACTTTGACAGGTGTTAGATTCCTATCCAAACCTGAAAAAAATCAGGGTCCATGGGACCTTCCACCATAGTGGATCTTGTCGTCATGCTTGTTCAAGGTCCAGATTGCTGGTGAACTCAATGGAAAGCCCAGTAAATGTACATGTAAAGAAGTTAAATGTTCAAATATCAGAATTGCCACATCTTCTGATAGGGTCCTGGGTAGGAATGGATCAGTAAGGCTTACAGTGTGATTGAAATTCTGAAACATACTGCAGTTCTAACACACACCTTTACCTGCCACATTAACTGTTTTGAAACAAATTGCTTGCTCTTGACTTTATTCTGAAAATTATACATTGTTTATTTAAATCTGAATTATTATTCATATTTCATGTAAAAAAGCAATTCTTTCCTCTGTCTTCTGGAATTGAACTGGGGACAAAGCAGCTACAATTAAAATTCAGCTCTGTTTTGAAGTCAAGCACACACATCTAACAAGTAGTTTTATTACTGGATTTGGACTGGGCAAAAATCAAGCAAAGCTCACTCTTACTAAGCAAACTATTTTTTTTTTTGTTAGTGTAGGTCTATTGATGTAAACTATGCTACAAGTGTAAAGTTATATGAAAATATACACATCCTGATAGTCATATAGACCACATTTTAATTTCTCAAAAAGCTCATAATCTGTACTATTTACAAACTCCTTGAACTTTTTTTTTGTCAAACTTGTATTTTCCATTTAGTCTCAATGCTTTGTGCTACATAAATTTTCAGCTGGGAAGTGGTAAACATGAAGGAGAATGATTGAGAGATCATAATCTTTTTAATTTCTAGCTGCTATAGTTATGAAAACGGACAAAACTTGAAAACATCTTTCTTTATGAAACAAATTGGATTATCAGCTCTGAAAAACAAGTCACTTGTATATGATGTTGGTAACAATAACAAAAATGTTATTTTTCTTTCTTGTTTTCATAATAATTTTTTCAATGTAGGATTCCAAAATATACTTTAAGTGTTGACTAATTGAGTTATATAAGTGCAAATATAGCATGTGATTTTCTGAGAGAAGGAAATGAAATGTAAACTTCTAAAAGCTTGTATGTGGAACAGAAGCTCAGGCTCTTTAAGCGTATCTGAAACTACCAACTCATAAGCATATTCTATCCTTTGTAGTGTTATTTAAAAGGAAAACAAAAAAGGCCACTAGTGCTCACTTCATATTTTGTTCTTTCCAAATGAAAATTTCGTGTATCTTTATCAAGATTTTTGCAGTAATATTTACTGTTTCAGTAAGACTCACTAAATTTTATGACAAATTTACTTCTTTTAATTTCCTCAAAAAATTAGGAAGTCACTTCTGTTGAATTTGATGGAAAAGGACAGTTCTTTGACCAAGTCCAGGATAGAACTTTCTCATCAAAATCTGCAAGGACTAATCAATAACCAGCTGGTCAAAGCACTTTATAATGGATGTGCAAGGTTGACTTCAGAGCAGGATGTTAGATAGGGATCTCCCAGTTCAATTATTCCTTTATCATAATCCCACATTATGAGTTTCAATGAATTTTTACTAGTTGCTTAATGAGTATTTTTACATAAAACAACATTCTTGTTTTCTGTCACGCTCTGTGGGACTGAGGGATCCTGAAAACATGAGTTATACATTCTTCACTTTATATCCTCCTTTATTATTTAATTTTTTTTCCTTTCTTTTCTACCCCCATAGGCTCCCTTTTTGTGCTGGATGCTTGAAGCACTGTAGTATGATAATTTATGTTAAGAATGTCAGGGGAATCTAGGAATAAAACTTCATCTCTCCGAAAAAGTGGAAATGCTTATCAGTGGTATCTGATACCGAATGTACTAATCTTCGTTTTTGTACTCTTGGGCAAACATTGAAATTGGACTTTATCACAGCTGAATTTCTTACCTTTTTTTCCAAGCATAGTAATACAAAATTCAAATTACCTTCTATAATAACTTAAAGAATCTTGCTGGTTTTAAGTATTTATATTGGCCAAGACCCCAATGTCCTAAGTCACATAGAAAATGACATTATTTGCCTAAGGAATTTCTTATTTAAAAGGTAAGATTTCTGATTTCAGTGTTACAAAGCAAAGGCTTGTAAGGCAGGAAAGGGAATTATAGGAAGTATGAACAGCAATGGAAGGCTAATAGAGTGTCAACGAATATCACAGGACAGATACGATTACTGGCAAAATGATCAGAGAATACAACAAAATACATAGTGATAGAGGACAGATTTTTAAGTAAGGTATTCTGATTATTATTGTAAATTTTATGAATTAATATTGCAATATTTTATGACTATTCCCCTTAAAGGTAATAAAAACTTAAGTTATATGTGACATATAAGGGGGATAGATTAGGAAATTCAGAAAAAACGCAGTGGAAAATGGAACATAATTAAAAGCTGTTTATTTATTTTTCACTGTGTTTCTTTATACTATTCAGCTAATGCTAATGTCTATTGCTGATGTGGTAAATAACCCATATTGCTGAATTAGTCATACACACAGATTCCCATCGTTATGCCTAGATTTTTGGCTTGCTAATTAGACATATGGATTTTGAAAATATTTAGGTTTTTTTGCAGGAAGTTTTGGACTGAACTTTTCTAATGAAAAACTGCTACAACTTCTTCACTTCTGGAACAAAATTTTAATTTTTCTGATAAAGTTTATGCACTGCAAGAACGGTGACAATAGCGACCCAGATGCCTGCCAGTGAAAATGGTTATGTGTCTACTTGAAGGAATCTACTACTTTTTGCCTGATTTGTATCCACAAAAAATATCATCAGAGCTCACAAGGCATTGGAGAAAGCTGTGGCTATGAGGTACATAACAAAACCTCTGCTCACTCTCTTCTAGCTCTTTCACATCTAACCAAAGTTAAGGTTAGGTGAGTTTAATATGATTTCATTGTTCACGTTTTGTTTTACTTGTATGGAAAAAAAACTCCAAAGAATATAGACATAACAAAAACACAGATCATAAATGCACAAAAGTGCACCATACAATATGTTCATCTTACTATCTAAGCTTTATCCCTTAAAGGATAAAGTGAAAAGGGGCAAAGTCTTTGGCTAGCTTGGGCGTTCAGCTTCCACACCAGCTTCTCAACTGCCTTATGAGTGAGACGATAGTTTTAATGTGCACATAGAAAGATGCAGTGTATCAATTGCAAAGTAAGTTACTTTGGACAGCAGTTTAGACTTGAACTCAGATAGTCTCTTCCTTAGTTATATTTTGGAAGGAAAAAACACATTTTGAGAAAATTGGTCAGATGATACAAACATCCTAATTCAAGTGAGTGGAAAGACTACTTGGTGTCTTGTAGAGTTCTACCTGATTCTGACATCCAAGAAGATGTTGCTATGATTTGTTACTGTGGAAAAGAAAGCTTTTGTTCTCTGAATGTGAAAAGCTTTTCCTTGTTTTCATGGTGTTTTATGACAGACATTATCACAACTTCGAAGGATTCATCCTGAATGTGAGGGTTTGTGATGGTCGATCTGTAT